GGTCAGTTTGAGTTGGGTTCTCCTGGAGCCCCTGCTTGCAGAGCAGTGCTCCATGTGGAAGAAGGTCGGAGGAGCAGGACCAGGCTGCTCGTGAGCCCACAGAAAACACACAGTGGGGCTGGAGCCCTCATGGTGGAGTTACTCTGCATTAGCACAACAGTTTTGTGCTCCCATGGCTCTTCCCTGCCCACTGCATGTGTTCTCACCGACTCTGGTCCCAGGCTGTGCTGCTGCCCTGAGGAGGAGCCTAGGGAAATTTGTCTCCATAGGTAAAACTCAACCCCGGGAATTTTTCTCTTTGAAGCTCTTTTTCCTGTTTGTTTCTTTGTGACTTCAGGATTTTTATGCTTACTTAGGACTCTTACCTGCCCAGGTAAGAGTCTTCAGGGCTAAGGTGGGTGCAGAATAAACTGGCTTTCATCAGGGAGTGTGCCTGCTCTGCTGGAGGTGCTGGGCGTCCTCCACTCCCACTGACTTCAGCCTCCAGGAATGTGCGGCGGGCCCTGCCTTGTGCGGGCAGAAGGGAACCCTCTTAGCTTGGATTCCTAGAAAAATGGAGTCCTGTGAACTCTAAAGGTGTGTGCATGTAGGACTGTGGACCATGTACCATCCAGCTCAGTGGAGTGTAAAAGCTTCCAGAATTTGAAATATCCTGTGACTTTGTGAAAACAGCACAAAAGAAGGAAACCCTATTAGCCCCTTCATGAAGGGAGATGATGCAGCATGACATCACATACTTTAGTTCAGATCTAATTAGGTGCTCAGGACTCCCTGAGGAGATGTTAGATGTGCTGCAAGTGCATCGTAACAGACATCAGAGAATCGAAGCCTGAGCTAAATCCATTGCAATTAGGCTGGCTTTATCTGCTGTACGCACCAGGCTGCTGGTTCTCTACACAACACCAGGGGCTTCATTCCTACTTTGTCCCAGTCCCTCGGCCTGTGTGGGATGTACTGACGACAGGCTTCAGCCCTTTTTGGAACAAGGAGTTTGGATGCCGGAGGAGAGATGTTTGGGAACGCCCATGGTGGGGGTTGTTGATCCAGAGCTGGTGGTGAGCAATCAGCATCTGATTCCCGGTGGATGCACGTGCTTGTAGTGAGTTTGGTGCAGGTCAGGCTGCTTCCCTCCCCAACTGGAGACATGGCTTAGTGCCTCGTGATCTGAACATCTGAGCTTACACCCAAGCCAATCCTGCAATGTTTTCCATGATTTGGAAATGGTGGTGTTGGGCTAATGAGTGTCAGGGCTGCTTGTGCTGGTGCCACCCATTGCAGTTCATCTGTGTTGCTTTATCGTGCCTGTTTTCTGCTAATGATATTAAACAAATCCAGTGCTGTGCAACTCTGTAGGACCAGGAACACTGACCAGGCTGCTTTGAGTGGGAGGCTGGATTAGGTACCTCCTGAAGTTGCTCCCAACCTGGTGATCCCAAACCAAACCCTGAACATGACACAGACAACACTGAGCACTCTGTGACCCACGTTGTCCATCAGGTCTGGCTGGGGCAGCTCATAATTAGAAAATTCTTCAGACTTTTTAAATTGTTCATTTAAAAGATGATGTGAAGTTTAATGTCAGATGAAAGACTACAGATGTTATGAGCCGCTGGCAGAGATAAATGGGAGACAGCTGTAAGCAGACCATTGCCTGTCTTTGCTTATAGGGATATAAAACAGTCTCAGCTGAGACTGTCTTGATGCTGCTGAATAGGAAACTCCAGAGTAGTAATTTGCAGAATACTTGTGTTTTTTTTAAGGTTTGCTTCTAGCTGCAGATGCCGGTATCCCCTGGCACAAGGAATGATGAAATCCAGGCACAGGCTACCAGGCCAGCGGGAGTGGTGGCTGTGCTGCCTGTGAATGCCCTCCCAAGCCTTTCTCTTTCCCATTGCCACATGGTATGTTGGGAAACCTCCTCAATGTCCTGGCACCTCACTTTAGGATGCTGCACATGCTCAGAGTGATGTGAGCAGCGGGGCAGGACTGGGGCTTTGGGGTATTGCTGCAGCCAGAACCCCAGTGCTTGTCCCCATCCTGCTCGCTGCCTTCCTGTGCTCCTGGGGCAAGGAGGGCTGCAGTGCTTGCTCAAAGGAAGCACAGTATAACAAAACATTTTCCAGCAAAACTTGCAGGTGGAAACATGCCTTCAAAGCCTCAAGTCCAGCTCACTGCAGCTCTTCTTTTGGCCTTGCTTTGTTGCAATAGATCTAACCCAGCATGTTGAGCTCCTCAGGGTAAGGGCTGGCTCTTTGTTCTGCAGAGCCTCTGGCTTCCCCAATCCTTCCTGTTCCTGCTGTGGGGAACAGGGTGAGGAGAGGCCCCACGCTTGAAAGACAGATATCATTAAAATGCAGTGGAACAGAGTTCTGAAGTCAAATATAGTGCCATGATGATCTAGATCGTGAAACTTAATCATTTCACTGTTGAATACAAAATTATTATTGTTGCATTTTTAGTAAGACTTGTGGGAGCTGTGGGAAACAACCCCCCGCTGGCCCCTGGGAGCTGCAGGGCTGCACTGGGGGCTCTTCCAGGCCCCCCCATCCTACACTCACCGCTGCCAGCCTTGCTATGCTCTTTGCCTGCCCCTGGCACGCTGCACTGTGCGGGGCTGGAGAGGGATGGGATCAGCTTTGGGGATGGCCTCATCAGACGCCACCTGGAGAATCCCTGTTTGGGATATTTAATGTGGAAAGGTTGGCTCGAGCTGTTCGGAACAGCTAAGAAATGCAGAAAGTCTGTTGGGGGATCTTTTCTTTGCAAGATTCATCTGTACAAAGACATAAACAGAGGGTGTAGCTGTGGGAGTGAGGAACAAACAGCCTGAGCCGCAGCCTCTGCGTCCCAGCCCTGGGGGGACGCAGTGACTGTGTGGCTGCAGGACACTTGGGCAGAAGGCTGAGCTTCCCCCAGCTACAGTCCTGAGCAGGAGCCACAGGCTGTTTGTGCACAGCTGAGAGTCCTGCAGAGAATGGGGTGCTCCAGAGGGACAGTTACAGGGCCAGGTGGTTTTGTGCTGTGGCAGCACCTGTAAGTAACTGTATAGCAGGGAGTCACTTTGCTCGGCCCTCAGTGGTGCTTGTACTCTGTTCTCTCATTGCTGCTTTGAACTTCTTTTCCTGTCTGATTGTTCCCTTAATCAAAAGAAAATGAACTCCAATTAAGGTATCTTCACACAGTGTGATTTGTGTCGGATTATGGCCGCTGGGGACCCTTTGAAAAGCAGCAATTCCAAGGCCTGATTCACCAGGGCTCACAGGAAAAGGGGTGGATCGGGCTTCCCAAGTGAATGCAGCAAGAACATAGCGTGATTCATGCAAATCGAGGTTTTCATATAAAGTGAGATCCTCCTGTGTGAGATAGGATGGGAGCCTGGCATCGGCATTACAATGGTGTTTTGGAGATGCCAAGGGCGTCTCTGGGGCTGTGTGTTTACCCAGGCGTGCTCAGGCATGTTCTCTTGGTGCAAGACACATCTTTTACATGTCCTTATGGTGAGGCTTCCAGAAGCCCAAGGGACCCGTAAGAGCGGAGTCTGTCACGACAGAAACCGCTTGTGGCAACTGTTTGGTTGGTGGAAGGTCTGTGTGTGGTGGATTGTTAGCAGGCAGCTTCTAAACTGTCGTCCTAGGATTTTATCAACAAACTCTTAATAAACGTTAATGAATTAACCTATTGAGAGTATTAAGCTTTGAAAGTGGTGGGTTTGAACTGAAAGAAGATAAATGAAGCTCTCTGCCTACCTCCTGCCGAGGCAAAGTCCCACTCAATAATGCTGTGGAAATTTACTGAAATCTTGGAATTGAAAAAAAAGATATTTTAACTCCTGTTGTGTGTACTTGATACAAGTAGGTACCGGGAGGTGTTTAAAGCCAAGACAGCAGGTATCCCATAGATCATTTTATACCACTCATATACTTCTTTATTTTACCCCTCAAAAGGACAGAGTAGCCTGAGGGATAGGGTTGGGGTAGGGTTAGGGAACCAAACCCCACTGTGACAGGGGTAATGCCAGTGAGGTACCAGCTTCAGGGTGGTACCAGTGGGATCTCTAAGGGCAGGCTGTCATGGGAAGGTGCCTGGGACATAGTTCACTGCCTGGGGATGGACGTCTGGGAGTGTAGGGGAACTGAAGTCCCTCAGCTGGGGGTACCCCACAGAGCTGCTGCTGGGTGGAGCAGGGACCTGCCCAGTGCTGATGGCTCTTCCCCAGGACAGCCTGGGGTCTCATCCCCTCTGGCCCAGCACTTCTACAAACCCTGCCTTGCCTCCTGGGATAGCTACATCCCCTGTGCTCCTTGAGCCAGGCAAGGCCCTGCAGGCGAGCAGAGGGCTCTCAGCAGGTAACTGTCTTCTGAAATGAAAAGCAAACCCAGAATGGTCAAAAGGCCCTAAAAGGCAGCAAGAATTACAAATAGGGATTGAAAGCTAAAGAGAGAGAAAATCTTAATTAGATCTCACCAGCCTGTAGAGGAACACATTGGATTAAAATGAAACGGAGCTTTGTACTCTCAGGGTTTCAGTGCAAGAATGGAAGAGGAATTATTCACATTTTCAATTTGTGAGGCTTGATTGCTTTTTCTGTGAACCTGTCTTTTTAACTTCTCACCTTGTCAGAAAATTGTGAAAAGCTGCTGGGATGGTGTATTTGGGGTAGTTCTTATCACAGCACATGGCAGAAACATTTCCATGGTTTCAGAACATGGGCAGAGTTTCCTATTTAATCCTCTCATTCTAGGTTAACTTCTTTCATCCTGTGGTGTCCAGCCTAGCCCCTACTCACCAACCTGCCTTTGACTTCACTACCAGCGATATTTTCTCTTTGTGAATTTCTATCAATATTTAATACAGTGGTGTCAGTTATGCTGTAAGATGAGAGGAACTACTAGAAACCTTGAATTATACATCATGTGGTGGGAGAAAGCTGGGAGCGTTTTCTTTTGGATCCATAGCTCTTGGAGTTGAACCTCCAGGACCTGCAGCTTGAAACCCCGATAATGGATGAGCCCCAGAAGAAACTCAGCCCCCGGCACGAGGGACGGCCCCGCAAGGTGAGGTTCAAAATATCCTCAGCGTACAGCGGTCGAGTGTTAAAACAGGTCTATGAAGACGGGCAGGAGCTGGAGCCCCCGGCCAAGGAGCATTCACGGAGGTTCCTGCGCCACAGCTTCGAGCCAGAGGACCATTTCTGCGGAGCTGGGGAAGAGCTGGAGAACAGGTTCTACTGGCCCACAGCACTGACTGCCCAGCGGATCAGCATCCTCAGGGACGATCAGGAACACACTCTCACGGGGATCTCGCCCCTGCTCAGTGACTGCCAGCCTGGCGCCAGCCACTGCAGGGTAAGTGATGCCCAGGCCTGTGCCCTCTTTGGGAACCAGCCTCAGGCTAAAACCACATTTAGGGTAATACAGTGACAGCAGTCATCCAGATAAAACTCAGTTTTGTCTGTCTGGAACTTGGAAACAGTGATTGTAAGTCCCCAGCCTTTATCCCAGGAATTTCATATGCTGAGTATTCCACATGCGGCAAGATCAGCAGGGTCTGCAGCAGTGCAGTCAGTGGGGGACAGCATCTGCTAGCTGTGCTCCATATGTGCTCCAGCTTCCCCTGGTGCTGATCTGCATCTATCCATTGGGTAGGATATAAGATTTCCACAAATACCAATATCTGTGCATAGGAATCCAACTGCATCTAGAGCAGTCAAATGTAAGGTACATATTAGCTTAATTAAGTATATTTATAACATTAAAGTTGCGTGACCTCAGCTGCCAGGAAAGCCAGTGTCACCAAGAGGGTACCAGGAGCCTGAGAGCCAGGCATCCTCATCTTCCAGCAGTCAAAATTCCCCTTTGGCTACTTGGACAATCCCAGCTTAGTTTCACTGGCTATTTTCGTAACATGTAATTAATGCCACTGATATAGAAGTGTCTCTTTAGTTGTAATAAAGAGGCAGAACACATGTGATATGTGTAAACACTTTTTGTGGCCTTGATTTGAACACATTAGAAGTCTGTTCATTCTTGGTGCTCATAAAGCTGCGTGTGGGAAACCCAGATGACTGATATTTGACCTGTGTTTAGTTGATACACTGGACATCTAGTTTACCTGAAAACATCAAACTGTGATGCATCTCTCCTGCCCAAAGACAGAGCAGTATTGTGATCTTATCCACTGTGTAATTTGTTCTGCATTCTTGGGTAATGCTCCTCTCCCTTCCCCAATCTCCTCAACCACAGATACCTTGAGTGACCATGCTGTCCAGTACCAGCTTGTGTTGTAACAACATGCACTTGGTGTTTGGAGATGCCATGCCTCTGTAACACACACAAGGCTCTTACCTTCTGCAGCTGGTGAGAACTTGTGCTCACCTGCCTCCCCCTCATGTTTCTCCCCACAGAGAAGCAGGTGCCCCACTGTCAGGAGAGCACCAGCCACCTTGTGTCAGCTGATGTGACTTGGCAGGGTATTTTTTAGGAGAACATCTCCTTTTGCATCACTTCTTGACACAGATACTTAAACAGAGCGAAATATGAAGAGTGTGTAAAACAATAGGCCCCGGTAACTCCATATGACACCCAGAGAGGGGGAAGGAGGGACCAGGTCAGCAAAATGCTGCTCTCAGGGAAATGTTTGACCATGCCAAGTTTAGCTTTAAAATAACTAGAAAAGAATACAAATTCACCCATTAGGACTGTCCCTTCACTGCTCTGCTGGATGCTCTGTGGGTGGTGAGGGAGCTGGGCGGGTGAAGGGGATGCTCTTCTGGAAGCTCAGGGGCCATCAGTGTTTGCAGAGTGAATTTATACTGGTGAGACACTGATCAGTTCCTTCTTCAGGCTTCCCCAGTCGTAGATTTTGGAAAGATCATCATCTATACAAATAACCTGAAAATCATCCGTGCACCGATGGATCAGAAAGAGCTCATGAGAAGAATCATCCAGACTGAGGGAATAAATGACTATACCTTCCTGTACCGGGAGAGGAAAGAGAGATTTGGTGGTGGATATAAAGACGTGGAAAAAAAGGTCACCTGCAACCAGTATGTGCTGGTAAGAGAAAATGGAAAGAGCTTTTTATCCCTAGTGCTTTTGGGTCTCTCAGCCCTGGTCAGGCCACAGAATATTCCCACCCAAGCTCCATCCATCTCTGTATCTGGCTCCTAGATAACTTTGGAATAAAAGCATCACTTTGTTCCTCGTTGCCCTCGGGAGACAACGACCAATGCTGTGCTGCAGTCTGTGCTCTGGGGATGGCTGTGCTGGTTCCAGATGCTCATGTCTCCCACTGGATTCTTTCCCTGGAGATGGCTGACATTTATGTAGCTTGGCTGGAGTCCATCCCTCATCACCTCTCCCAGTGGGATAAGGGCAGGACAGAGTTTCTTCAGCCTGACAAGGCTAAACACAGCTGCTTTGTGGCTGAGACTGCTGCAGGCTAAAATTTTAATATCAGCTGAAATAAGGTCGTGCCTTCCACTTGTTTTCTCATGACGGAGTCTTTGTTGGTCAAAATCCCAATTAGTCTGACCATAATTTGATCCCACAACACTTAATGTTGTTGTTTGGGGCAGATACAGTTTCACAGACCTGAGTCCAGCCTGTGCTGAGTGCAGGTCACCAAGGTCCTTCTTCCCCCAGGAATTTCAAGGTGGGATTTGAAAGAGGCTGCCTGGCACCCTGGGAGAAAGGTGCAGGCACAAGGGAAACCTTGAAACAAGGTGTGCATTGGCAGTGATGAGGGATTTAGGGGGACAGGGTGAGGAGAAATGCCTGAAGAAATGAAGCTCAGCTCAAACCTGAGGTTGCAGAGCTGGGATGGTATGATAAGAAATGACAGGAGGATGGGTGGAGCTGTGTAGAGGAGGAAGATAAATTTGGAGTATTGTTACAAGCCCAGTCACATTAACTTCTCATTTTTCAGCAGTAGCCACAAATTGTCCCCAGACATATGGGAGCCTTTCTGTTGAAGTCCTTGTGTAGAGAACTGACTGTCAGTGGCAGAGTGGTGTGTCAGGAGTAACCCTGACGGGAAAGACCAGAAGATAGAATTTCCCTCTTTCAAGTGTGTTCCTGGCTTTGGTGTCTCACATCCGCTAACAGATTTTTTCCTGCTCTCTCTCCTTCAGGAGGGTGATGCTGAACACGGTTGTTCACAGTGTAAAGGCTCAGGCTCTGCTCCCTGCTCACTCTGCCATGGAAGCAAGTTCTCAATGCTGGCAAACAGATTCAAGGAGTCCTACCGGGCTCTGAGGTGTTCGGCGTGCAACGAGAGCGGGCTGCAGCCCTGCCGGATCTGTGCTGCCTGACTGGGCTGCCAGCACCACCACCAGGGTTTGCAGAAAACTTGGAACTATTTAACCTTCCAACAGCTTCACAATGGCAAGTTTTTAAAAGATGGGAAAGGCACGTTATACATATCTCACCATGAGTGTGAAACTGCACCTCTGCTTCCAGTCGTCAGTCCAGTCTGCCCCGTGAGCCTGTCCAGCTTTGGAATCATCTTGACCCCAGGCTGAGTGTGTCTCTGACTCCAACTGCCAGGCAAATGTATCCCTGGCCCAGAGGAAATGATCAGCATTTGGAGGTCAAGCACCTGTGTAAACGTCCCTGCACCTGGAACTCAGCTGAAACTGTCCCTGTGCTGGCACCGTCCCTCCTCCCCTGGGTACTTGGTGCCTGGCACAGCCAGGTCTGACCCCCAGGTGCTCCGTCATTCAGGAGCGGGTGTGCAGTTTGTACCAGTACAGGTGTGCAGTTGGTACCAGTACAGGTGCACACTGCCTCCACAAGCAGTGCCTCCCCTGGGTTTTAATTTGCTGAACGCTGCAAATGATGCTGTTGTTGCTGTTAACTCTGTCAGTGCCCTGCAGGGTGACAGGCATTTCCTGAGGTTTTGTTGATCTTACACCATCTTTAGTGACACAGTGATACCTTTGGGGTCTGATTTCTGGGAGGAAATCGAAAACCCTTCCCAAACCTGGAGTTATTAAAAAAAAAAGGCATGTATTTATTACTATGAATAGAAGTTATTAAGTTTTTAGTCTCCTTACAAGGAAGGGCTGGACTAGAAGTCCCCTGTATGCTGCTCAGCACTTCTCAGGACCAGGCTGAGGGTGAGCAGGATGGCTCTTGCTTAATATTAATCCCATGTTGTAATCTGCAGGAGGTAAACTCTAATTAGTGAAGTGAAGCAAGGATGGGTATACCTTGCAGGGTGCCATTGGTGCACAAAGCATGGGGGCTGTGAGAGGCTGAGGCAAAGGGGAAATGGTATTTGTTTTTCCCCAAAGCATTAACTTATTACACTGTATATTCAGGAGTAATGTCAGTGCAGCCTTAACTCCCATATTACCTCTGAGACCCTGATGAGTTATAGGCTGCTCACATGTGCTTCATGCTGAGGCTGCAAGCCCAGGCAGGGTAATTTACAGCCAAGTTTCTATTTTCCTGTGGTAGGTTACAAGATTTCTCTGCAACACTGAATTGATTTGAAATAATGCTGTTTTAGCTGTTAGGCTTCCATATGTCTCCTGCTGAAATTGTGAGGTGGGTACTGAGGGTTTATTTTTCAAAATTGCATTAATCTACAGCAGATATTTGATTGACTTTTATTCATCATATCAGAATTTGCAATATGAAAAAATGTTGTCCTTGGGGTATCACTGAGGGCAGGGGAGACCTCCCAAGTCAGAAATTGCTGTTAAGCAGGATCTCTTCCTTCAAATCTGACCTGTTTGATCTCAGTTTGTTTGGCTTATTGGAGAGTTTGCTGGCTTGAGAAAAAGCAAGCAGGTAAAATTGTAGCTTGATAATGTTTACAATAAAACCACATGCAAATATGCATTTATAAAATCAGTATTTATTGTTCTTTGGTAATTACAATGTTTCTCAACCACTGTCACTCCTCTGGGCTGTGTCAACTGTTCCCATCATCCCAACACATCACTAGGGCTATGGCTGCAGCCAGGAGCTGAGCTCTGCCCTTGTTCAGCCCAAGCCTTGCAGGTCCCAGTGTCCCAGGGAGCGTGGACCTGTCTGTGCACTGGGATTGGGCTGGGAGTGCCATGGTCCAAGCAGAGCAGGGGGATTTTCTCCCCACACTTCCAGGGCACTCCTTTTACTTTGGTGATGCACTGACTTCATTTACCCAATAAATGCTCTTATTTAATGTGACAAAGAAGTTTGAACTTTCCTGCAGCATCATGGTGAGGGGACTGTTGAGGCTACTTGTCTCATGTTACTGGTTTCATTTCTGCTGTAGTCAGAGGCTCTTGCCCATCTATCTGTGTGTCTGTCCTGGCTGGGCAGGCAGCACAGGGTGCAGGGGGTGAGCTGGGCCAAGCTGCCCTTGCAGCCACAGCATTGCCCTGCTCCAGCCTGGTTCTGTCCCCAGCTCAAAGAGACACAAATCTAACTGGGTCTATGGCTCAGTGATTGTGGGCAGAGCCCCCTTGCACTTGCTGGCAGCCTTGCTCCTGCTGCCACTGTCCTGGGCACTGGGAAGTGGAGAACACTTCCTGCTATATAACCTTTTATCAAAAATTGTCAGATCCTTAAAAACTGAATTGGTTTATGGGTCAGGGTAGAAGTAGTAGATGATGTCTTGCACTTCTGCCAAGAAGTTTCAAGTTTTTCCTGTTTGCTGAAAGCCTGTAAAGACATCACTGCGCTTGCTGAAGTCACCAGGCTTCTGCACGTGATCTCGGTGGGGTCGGGTGGAGTGTCCATCTCGTGAGGGAATGACACGAGATACAGGAATCTCTAGATGTGGTGGTTTGGTTTTGTTTAACTGACTGCCTGTTTTTTCCTTGTGTTTGATGGCTCAATAATAGAAGTGAATCCCTGGAGTGGTGTCATGCTCACAGTGCATGTGAACTGCATGTGAAATTCTTTTACAAGGGAAAACCAAAATATCTTCACAACTGCTGGAACTTTCAACACTAAATACAGGCAAAGATGCTTAGTCTGAATCTATTTCTCTTGTTTTTGTTAACCTTCTACAGCTTTGTTGTTTTACCTTAGGACAGGAGTGTGCAAAGATGCATTTAACGGTTTCTTTAAAGAAAAAACAAAACCAAGGGCAGAAAGGTAACCGTGTCTTCCCCTGTGCTGCTGCAGAACTCCCGAGCTGTGTCTGGCAGGCTCGGCAGCCGGATTCACCAACCGTGTAGTTGGCTGCCACACCATGGCGAACCGATGGATGTGCTCCCAAACACGTGGGAGAAAACTCGGAGCAAACTTGGAAAAGAGAAAGCAGCTGATTTTTCTTGAGTGTTTGGCAGTTCGAGGTGAGAGAAGAAGAAGGGTTGGTGCTTTTTACTGTGAAGGATTTGAACCAGAGCAGAAATCCAAATGGGCAAATTGAGTTGTTTCCTGCGGTAAAGATTGGTGGGATTCAGGAAGGGCAGTTGGAAGTGAGCAGGGAGGCTGATGGTGACACCCAGGAGGGCACAGCAGAATGTGATAGGATTGAAGAGGTAATTGCCATAGTTACTCATAAATGCCTTAGTTAAAGTTGATCCCAGGGCTCCTGCTCTGGCTCTTTCTGTTGTGACTCTGCAGGTGGAACCTTGGAATGTTGTTATGCTGCAGAACAGGGTGGGAAGGTGTGACCAGATGAGCTCTCAGAGGAGACCAGAGCCAAAGGGTTCTTCAAGGACATGTTTATGTCAAGACATCTTCTGGCCCATGGAAATCACAAGTGTGGCCTCACCTGCGGCATTTTGTATCAGCTGGAACTTGTGATCCATGAGGATGGAGCACAGAGGTCCTTTGGACACTGGAAACCACCAGTGTGTTTTTTTGCGTGGCCTTTAGCTGAGCGCAGTGGTCATTTTAAAGTGAACCTGTGAACTTGGAACCAAACATTTAGTTCAAGTGTGATGAAGTGATCTGTGTTTGAAATATGGGTATCTAATGTGAAAGGCTTTTGTACTTATCAATCTTTATCACAGTGACTAATGTGGGTAGTGGGTTTTTAATTTACATTTATTCACAACCACCGTCCTTCCAAAGCAGTAACTAAGTGGAGGAATCTGGAAAGCTTTAGCTGAATTTGCAATATTACTGCCTCATTTCCCTGTGGTTAAAAAAGAAAGCATGAGAATATTTATGATTTAAACATTATTATTTTTTGCAAGTCTTTGAGGCTGTCGTTTTGATTTACGTGGGCTCCATTTGATCTTGTGTGTAAACCCAGCCCTTCATTGCTTTGAAATATTTTGGTTTTATACAAATTATCCTGTGTGAGCTGCAGTGATTTTTCTCTGCTGTGTAACACGGTGCCACCTGAGCAGCTTGCGATTCCGACAGCTTCTGAGAAATACTGTGCCAGGGAACTGCTGCTTCTGCAAATGACTGCACACACCTTCCAGTCAGCAAAGGTATGCAGGGTCTTAATTCCCTGGATTCAGAATAATGACCAATGTGATCAATTTTGTTTGTTGTTGTTTGTAGAAAACAATCCATATGTTTGTAGGAAGACAAGCGGGGGTGGAGGAGTTCTTGGTGTATTTTTACTTGCTGGGTTTCTTGCAAGTGGAGAATGGCCGGTTCTGGTCAGAGTGGTGCAAGGGGTGACCCTGGAACTGCTGGGACCCCCATGCCGGGGTGCCGAGAGGTCTGTGGGACGGAGGGCTGGTGCTCCCAAACCTCCGTGTGCTGGTGCTGTGCTCGCAGCTCCGCACCTGTAAACGGGCTTGGAAACCATCAGGGAACGCTCGTGGCCGGCAGCGGGATGGGGAAAACAATCCGGGACTGCGGGTGGGTTACACAGGCAAAGTCAGCTTTGGGATTTGCTTGGTTCCATTCAGTGTGTTAAAGGAAGAAAGCCCTCGAAATGCAAAAAGCCCGGGAAGAAACTTACTACAGGAGCTCATTGAAACTTACTACGGGAGCTCATTGAAATTGACTACAGGAGCTCATTGAGGTTTTTAGGAGAAGTGCGCACGCTTTGTCGGGATCCGGGTCCCGGTTTCCCGGGATCTGACATTCTGAGGGATGGTGTGCGGGGCTGAGGGCCAGGGATGCGGCTGCGGCCGGCGGGGAATGAGGCGGGCGAGGGACCGGGTTCTCCCCGGCCGTCCCCTCAGCCGCGGACGGGGCCGGGTCCGCCCGGGTGCGGCGCTGCGGGACGCCCACAAGATGGCGCCGCTGCCCGGCGGGTGAGGCGGCGGTGAGAGGGGACCGGCGGGACCGGGTACGGAAGGCCGGGGGTGCTGGCCCTGCCCCGGCCACTCTGAGGCTTCGCCTCACCGACCCTGCCCGTCCCGCCGCCCCGGCAGCGGCAAGAGCTGCCCCGGTCGCT